GAACAGAAATACTTTATTTTTACCTAATGAAATTATAAAGGTTGATGGCATTCTGTTGGAAGATTTTTTAGCAAATGAAAATATCCATGAGCTGGTTCAAAATGATGTGCTGAGAATAACATGAAATTTTACAACTGTGTTCAAGAATTCAGAAAGTACATTATGATGGGTAAAAACAGCCCTATGAACTTCAGCTCACCAGTCATGTGCAAACAAAAGGTTTTTTGGAAAGTATATGGTGAAAAGTGCAGGTTTTCATATACAAAGTTTCCGAATAAAGAAGCTATCATTGCTGAACATCTTACAAAGGACATGGATGAAGAGGAAAAGAAAAGATAACAGCACATTACAGAGCATTACCGAGTCTTGTTAAAAATGAATTAGAAAAATTGATGCCTGAAGATTTTGAAAAAGATATGGAAATATGGGAAAGAAAGCAAATGTGTCAGAAGATAAATATTACAAGGTCCTACTTATCTCCACTTTTGGGATTCCAGTCATTCTGAAAAATAAAGTTCGAGAGATTTACGTTAACAATTTCAATCCAGAATGGTTGAATTCATGGAATTCAAATATGGATATTTAAATTTAACTCCATTATCATTCAGTCCACAATTACATTACTGATTACTTCATGAAAGAGGAATCTTGAACATTAACATTTTTGAAAGATGCCACAAAGCAACAGGCACATCTATCAAGCAAGGAGAAAATGAAAACTCTTTCTCAGGCATTCCTTACACACAGACAAAGGGGGGAATGCGAGGCATATTACTGAATTATTCTCAACCTGAAAGATTCAAATGTCAAATACGTATTTGTGAGTGCAGGCTTTCCACATCACAGAACAAAATTTGTGTACAAAGTGCCCGAGAAAGAAAATAGAGATTCAGATGATAAATTTGAGACTAATGATGCTGTAGTCAAAGTTAGTGGACATGAAGGAAATTTTAAGGCAAAGATGTCCATACAAGAAAAGTGTGCTAAAAGATCAAATGTACTCGAAATTGTTGACTTGGTGCAGTTTGCAATAATGTATGATACAGGAACAGCCTCCAAGATCAAAGTTGTAAAATTCAAAAATGGCACACGAAAAAGCACTACAAAAATTGTACCCTATGATGAAGTTGATGAAAACCTTCTGTTATTGATAAAGTGTTTGACAACACCTGTGACATACTTGTCACGTAGATCCTACCTCAGTGCTTCGCATTCACAAAATCAAAGAAAATATAAAGACCCTCGTGAATGTTATTTTTCAGTTACTTCTCTACCATCCTTAGAGAGATGAGGCAGAGTTACATGAAGATGCCTTAGAAAAATCTCTGTGCATGTATCAAGAAATGGATGAGAATGAAGCACTTAAAGAGGAGGATGAAAGAAAAACGAAAATTGAAATTGTAAAAACTCTATTTTCATTGAAAAATAGCTTTGAAGAAGGATGCACAAAAATGGCCTTGGATGCTGGAGAATGTGCACTTCATCTTGGCAATGACATTGATGCAAGATGCAGATGATGACATGGAAGAATGCATGATTCCTCATGAGGAATTTGCCATGCTTGATCCTGACAAACTCACAGCCTGAAAAAGACCATATTTTGGTGGGTTGAAATGGGTGACATAGATCAAATGCTAGAACCAACCCGAAAATTTGTACCAGAGCATTTGATAAAGTGATTGGTTACATAAAAAATCTTTGATAAAACTTCTGTTGTACCAAACTCACCACTGCTAATGGTCCATGGTGGAGCAAGCTCTGGGAAAAGTATATTCATCAATGAAGTTGCTAAGTGGGCAGAACACTTCTTACGAGAAAGAGGTACAAATCTCTA